GACAGCTCCTCACTATTGGTAAGCCCATGCTAGTCTCAATGCTCAGCACAGAGTGAATTTGGGGAGAAGAGCTTTAGGCAGCACTCCCAGAACACAGAATTCCCCCCAGGACAGGGTGCCTGGAAAGAGCTGAGAGTGCTCCTCCTCTGTTCACTTACAGGAGAGAGGAGAGGCTGTACTATCAGTGCATGTTGGGGAAAGGGAATCATTCCACCTCCTCTTATCATCTCCCTCGTACTAAAGCAACCTGGAAGCAGCTTCCTTCAAGTCAGCTGGAGCGCTCTGGACAGCTACACATGGTCACCTGGACAGTCTCAGTCCCATGGCCTCTTGGGGCCTTTTGTCTCTGGATCTGTTCTACATGCAACAGTTCAACCTGAGCTTCTGGATTACCTTACTGGACAGGGCAAAAAACAAGACATCAGGACAGATGCTTCCTCGCCCCACCTTACCCACAGTCCATCCAAGCTCTCAGGAGTGGAGGGCAGGGCAGTCACCCTCTGTAGAGGGCCAGGCACAGTTTCAGTTCCCTAACAAGGAGAACCGCCTGTGCTAAGGGAAACACTGACCCTGGGAATGCCCAGAGAGAAGCAGCCATCTGAAGAGCCCTTCCTGCTCTAAGGCTCCAGTCAGGTCCCAGTAGGCTCTTGCTGTGCAGCAGCTCAACAGGGAAGGGGTGGGACAGATGGGCACATGGAACTAGGAGACTCCTGGTGGTGCATACCTGTGAGCCTTCGGGAAACGTGTTACCAGCCGGCCCTCCTCCACACTCAGAATATGGATGGATTTGTCCTTGGACACTGTGAAGAGCTCTGGAGACAAGATGCAAAAGCACCTCACATACACAGCCCCATCCACCCCCAGCCTCCACAGCAAGGAGCACACAGGTCAATGAGACTGAGAATTGCCCACTGCAGCACCTATGCTGGAACTCTGCATCCCACAAACCCCATCTAGAATCCACCCTGCCAACTGTTATCACTGGGTTATATGGTAGTTGATGCAGCCAGGAACCCTCACTCTGTGATGGAGAACCATAACTCCATGTTTGTATACAACAGACTAGGATTCTGAGCTGCAGGAAGAAAATCCCTGGAATTTCAGTGAGCCAGAAGGTGGAATCTCAGCGTGGGAGCCCTACAGCCTCTTCCTCCACTCTACTGCTTGTTCACTCCCCTCACCAGGGCTCATGTGTAGGCTTTCTGCTTCATTAGCCCTACCACTCACAGGCACCTCGTCTCATCCACACCACCACCAGCTATAAAGGTTCAGTCTCCTTCAGCAACTACTTTTCCCCAGTATGCCTCCTTTCCAAGTCAGCAACCTGATGAGATAAGGTACCAGGTACAGCTTGTTCTGATTCAATTAAAGCAATGCTCTGCACCCTATAACATGCTGCTGCAAAGCATGCTTTTTAGAGCTTAGGAAGAAATGCTACCCCACAAAAGCCAGAGAAAGATATCCTCATTGTTAGCTTAACCTCAGCCCCCAGGGGATCTGCGCTGCTTGCTACAATGGTATGGAATAGCCAGTGAGAAGCGCACTCACTCTGACCATCGTGGGAAAACGACACTTCCCGGCAGGATTTCAGGTGGTGCCCAGAGGACCAGAGTTCCTGGTTCCCACCCTCCAGGCAGGAGTATGAATACCTGAAACAAAGGCAAGCTGTTGAGAGCACCGCAACAGGGAGCTGCCCCCTGCTTTACCCATCCAACCAAAAAGCGCAGCTGTGGGAGTACATGCATCAGAGGTGGGGACATCCTGGTGCAGGACCAAGTAGGAGATCCATGACCAAGGAGAGGCTTCTAGGGAGCAGGACTAGAGTGGGGGAGGAAATGTGCCATGATTAGATCCCAGTGGTAGTTACCAGCTGCCCTAGAGGTAGAAGGAAAGCCTGGACAAGAGCTTCAAGGTATTGAATTCATATGAAAATTCTAACACAACAGAAATTCTGACTATGTAACAGGAAGAAAAAAAACAGCATCACCTAGGCATCAAGCTCCAGCTCCACCAATCCCCATCACGACCTGGCATCTGCCCAGGCTAGGAGGAGATGAGTCCCCAAACAATAGGATTGAGAGGGAACATTTGGGGCTGATTTCCTTACAAATCCATCTAGAGGCCACCCAGGGAAGGTTACTAAAGAGGCATCATCCCGGCTGGGAGCTGATGTAGAAATTACGAGGGTAGGCCCACAAAGGACAAAGCAAAAAGTACAGCTTAAATTGCAGAAAGGTATATGACAGTTAGGTCTTTGGAAGAACCTACTGCTGACAGTGGTTAAGCACTGGAATAGATTACCTAGGGATGATGTGGAATACTCAGTCACTGGAAGTTGTTAAGTGCAAATTAGACAAATATCCTGTCTTGGACCATATAGAGAGGGATGATCCTACCCTTCAATTCCATGCCTGTGTAGCAGAACAAGGGGACAATTGTAACACAGGCAGGTTTAGTCGCACTGAATTTAACCTGACTAGCATAGTAGTGAAAGCACAATGGCACAAGTTTCAGCACTGGCTAGCAGCTGTACATCCCTAGAGAGCATATAGTCTGGTTGCCCACACTGCCATGCCACGAATATTCCATTACCCATGCTAGTTAAAGGGAGGGGAGGGTACTACATACATCTGAACTACAACTGCACCTTCCTTCTGCTGTGCAGAAACGCCCTAAAAAGCACAGACACTACTTACTATGCCTGTTCTACTGACAGATTTGTGGCAACATCAAATAGTGAAATGGAATAACACCAGCCAAGAGTCTGTTCCAAGACTGAGCCCTTGCAGACAGCAGAATATTGCTACAGTATCCCAACCACTGCTGCTCTGAGACTGGCAGCAGCTCTACTTAATCTGTTTCTCCCACCTCTGCAGAAAACAGGCTGATTCTTCAGACTAGCATAGCTCAGGGGCAAGGAGCAGGATAACTAAGCTCACACCACTCTCCACAAGAACTGGCTCCAATTCCAAGGCTCCACCCTCTGGCACCATCCTCTCCAACAGCTGCACCTGGCCTTATTTGACCAGGGTGGGGTAGGCTGGACACCAAGCGACTGACCTCAATCAACAGCAGACATCACACAAGTCTCTCTCCACAGTACCTGAGCAGTACTGGTCTTTAGGGGTTTTCCCAAAAGATGGTTAACTGTGTTAGTGTGAAGTCAAGCAGAAGGTAAGTTCATAGAAAAGCCCAGGGGGCTTACTGGTTGTATTACTTGCTGCCAGTTATCCATGATGCTCTTTGCTCAGATAAGTGTCAAACTCACAAGTAGACGTCACCGTCCACATCTCCTGCGGCTATGATGTCCCGGCTGGGGTGGAAAGCGATGGTGTTGGCTGAAGCCTCAAAGGAAACGTCCTCCGGCGTGTCTCGGAGCTTGGGCTCCTTCTCCTCCTCCTCCTCCTCCGCATCTGCCTTTGTGGGCGGAGTGAGAAGAAGTCGGTGCAGGGACCAGAAGCCCCCCCTCCCCCCACCCCAGCTCTCCCTGCGCACGGAGGGCTGGGGCGCCAGAGCTCGCTGCTGCGGGTCCCGCAAAGATCCGCCCGCACCGCCCACCTGCGCCGGCGCCTCCGCTTCCTCCAGGGCCGCCTCCTGCTCCAGCACCGTTTCCTAAGCAGGACGAGAAAGACACTTCAGGACCCGGCCGGCCGCAGCCCGGCACTGCCCCGGCCCGGTGGGGGAGGACGGGGCCACCGCCCCGACAGCC